GGGAGGGAGGGAGGGAGGGTCTGATGGGACACAGCTCCCCTAGCTCTGTGGCTGCAAAGCATCCACTGGTAAGTCAGTGACCATGAATTCCTTCTCTCTGTGTCTCTGTCTCTTTTTCCCCAGTTCATTCATGGCTATTGTCATCCCCTCCCCCCATCACTGCTCTCTGTGCATCCTTCCTAGCATTATTGTATATTCCAGTGACTCTTGTCTTCTCATAGCATGTCCAAGTACAATAGCCTTCATTTTAGTCATTTTAGCTTGTAGGGAGAGTTCAGGATTGATTTGGTCTAGAACCCACTCATTTGTGTGTTTGGCAGTCCATAAAACTCCTCCAACACCACATTCCAAATGAATCAACGTTCTTCCTGTCAGCTTTCTTCATTGTCCAACTTTCATACCTATGCATAGTAATGGGGAATACTATAGTATGATTTATCTTCATCTTGGTCACCAGCAACATATCCTTACACTTAAGGATCTTTTCTAGCTCCTTCATGGCTGCCCCTCCCAGTGTCAATCTCCCTTTTAGTTGATGGCTAAAACAACTAATAGAAAATCTTCAACAATTTCAATTTCTCATCATCAATTTGTGTAATTCCACAGTAATCACTACTTTTATTTTCTTGATGTTCAGCTGCAATTCTGTTTTGGCACTTTCCACTTTAACTTTCATTAGCAGTTGTTTCAAGTCATCACTGTTTTCTGCCAGTAATATGGTGTCATCTGGGCATCTCAAACTGTTAATGTTTCTTCCATCAATTTTCACTCCACCTTCATCTAAATCTAATCCAGTTTTCCTTATGATATGTTTTGCATAGAGATTAAAGAGTTAGGATGATAAAATACATCCTTGTCTGACAACTTTACCAATCAGAAACCATTCTGTTTGCACATCACCAGTCCTTACAGTAGCTTCTTGTCCAGAGTATAGGTTGCACATCAAATCAATCAGATGCGGTATACTCATTTATGTTAAAACCAACTGTAGATTTTCATGATCTACACAGTCAAAAGCTTTGCTGTAATCTATGAAACACGAACTTATTTTCTTCTGAAATTCACTCATATGTTTCAGCATTCAATGTAAATTTGCAATATGATCTCTAGTGCTTCTTTTTCTGAATCCATCTTGAACATCTGGAATGTTGCATCCCATATATGGTAATAATCCTTATTGTAAGATTTTGAGCATCACTTTACTCACATGAGAAAATAATGAGATGCTCTAATAGTTAAGATTTTGATGGACTCTGTGTCTTCTGTGGCTTGGAATAGTTCTACTGATATCACATCTATTCCTGGTGATTTGTTTCTCCCAATTGCTTGGAGTGCAGATTTCACGTCATTTTCTAAAACTGCAGGTTCTTCTTCAAAAGATTCTTCATGAAGGGAATCTGTTATCCTTTCATCTCTTTCTGTATAGTTCCTCAGTTTATTGTTTCCCTCTTTTCTTTATTTTGTCCTGTTCAGTTAATATATTTCTGTGTTGATCTTCCAGCTTGCCTAACCATATCTTAAATTGTCCTTTGATTTCTTGGATCTTATGGAATAGATCTCTTGTCCTTCCTTTTTGTTGTTTTCTTCTATTCTTTACATTGGTTATTATAATAGTACTCTTTGTTTCTATGTACAAGTTGTTGGAATGCTGCATTTAGGCTTCTGATTCTATTTCTATCAACGTTCATTTTTGCTTTTTGTCCACCTTTAGGCATGTTAAGATTTTCACCAGTCATTCATTTTCAGTTTTTCATTTCTTTTGACCACAAGAATAGTCCTTGAGTATTCTTCTTTGATAACATCTCTAGTTTCAATCAACAGTTCTTCTGGTTCATGTTCACTTGAACTTAGTAATGCAAATCTATTCTTTAAACTCTTCAGGAATGTTTAAAGGAAAAGGAAAATTGTTTTCAAAAGATTCAAAGGACAGAGATACTCTACGCTATCACTCTTTTGAATTTTTATATGACACTGCAAGGAGGCCCAAATGCACATGCCCCATAACTGAGAATTCTTTGTTGTTTACTTTTGCCTCATGCCTGACCACTTAATATCAAAAAGGTGGCACACCATTTTTTCAACTAATTTCTGAGGGAAAGCCAACACGCTGGATACCTTTCAGTTCAGAATGAGTCATCCCAAAGGGATGGTGTGGTACATTATTGAGAAATATTGGTGGGAGAGGGCTAGAAACTGAGAATGAGAGTAGGGCAGTAAAGGAGGGCCATGTGAGGAAACCCTAGGGCCAAGGGAGGCAAGGATCCTTAGAGAAGGAAATGAGGTACAGGTGCCTGTATGCCACTGCAGGGATATAGGACATGTCAACAGAAATATGCCCCCAGAGTCCAAAACAACCACCAAGGAATTCAAAAGAGGGACCTTTGCTTAAATGCGGGGACTAGCCAGAAGAAAGTTAAAAGGGAGACTTAAAAGAGTCACATCCCTCTAAGATGCATGGAAGCTATTTAGGACGACACTAATGCAGGCCCAGATAGAATGCATACCTGAATACTATCAAGTCTAAAAATATTCCTGCATTGTTAGCCAGTCGAGGAAGTAATAAAATACAAAAAGGCTTATTTTAAGGAGTGAAAAATGACCCACACCAAAGTGAACAGAAAGGAGGACAGGTGCTGGCAAAAAAAATGCAAGTCAGCAATAAGGAGGGCAAAAAGAGTATTTGAGGAGCAGATGGCCCTATAAAATACAAACAATAGACATTTCTTCAAATATCTCAAGTGGGCTTTTGGACAACACAAGAATTGCTTAAGGTAGATGGGCACATGGCAGAAGAAGTGAATTCTTTGCATGCGTTTTCACTGTGGAAAATCTAGAGCAAATACCTATGTTGAAGCTACTTCTGATTAGAAGTTTGCCTGTTGTTGTTGTTCAGTGTGCCTGAAGAACTGACAAATTGAGGTGGTGACTACTAGGCAAAGTGAAAACCACGACACACCTGAGGGCTGTTAAAGAATTCAAAAGAGAATGTTTTGACCTATTAACAAGTAGATGTAACATTGCTAAAACAGGCCTCCCTGCCAGATGACTGGAAAATATCAAACATCACCCCAATTTTTAAACAGGTGTCCAGAGGGTTTCCATGAAATTACAGGCAAATTAGCCTGTTGTGAGTAGATTAGTAGACACTGAGAATTATTAAGCACATTGAAGAACAAAGCCTGCAGAGTGAAAATCAGCATGGCATCTACAAAGGGAAGCCCTGTCTCACCAATCCCTTGTATTTCTTTGAGTAGATTAACAAGCTGTGGATAATGGCAATCTTGTAGACATTGTATACTTGGACTTCTAAAAGGCTCTTGACGAGGTACCTCATTGAAGACTCCTGAATAAAGTTAGCAATCATGGGTTAAGAGGATAACATAAGAACATAAGAGACTCCAATGTTGGATCAGGCCAAAGGCCCATCCCGTCCAACACTCTGTGTCACACAGTGGCCAGAAATACCAGTGCCATCAGGAGGTCCAACAGTGGGGCATACCAATCCCTTGGATTTCTTTGAGTAGGTTAACAAGCTGTGGATAATGGCAATCTGGTAGACATTGTATACTTGGACTTCTAAAAGGCTCTTGACAAGGTACCTCACTGAAGACTCCTGAATAAAGTTAGCAATCATGGGTTAAGAGGATAAATCCTCTAGTGGATTAAAAGTCGGTAAAGTGAATGGAGAGTTCTTGCAATGGAGGGCAATGGAGTCTCTCAACTTGAGAGTCCCAAGGATTGGTATTTGGCCCAGTGCTATTTAATTTGTTCATTAATGATTTGGAATCGGGGGAGAGTAGCCAGGTTTTCAGACAATACCACATGATTCAGGATGATGAAAACCAAGGCAGATTGTGAAGAGCTACAGGAGGATCTCTCTAAATTGAGTGAGTGGACTACAACGTGGCAATTTTAATTTAATGTGAGTAAGTGTAAGGCAATAAATATTGGAACAAAAATATTTCCTAATTGTAAATATATACTGATGGAGTCTGAACTGGCTAAGACTCAGATGTTGAGGTTGTAGTGGAAGGCTCTATGAAAATGTCGAATCAGTGTGTGGCAGCAGTGAAAAAGGCAAACTCCATGATAGGAATGATTAGGAAAGGGGTTGAAAATAAAATGGCCAGCATTGTAATGCCCTTGTATAAAGCTATGGTATGTCCAGGCTCGCACAGAGGTTAAGAGAGGCCTGGGCTACTTCCATTTCATTAAAAAATGAAAAAGTGCAAAAACAATGATACAACATTAGTAACATTATATTTTTAATGTTTACATTTAATACAACAAGAAAAAGAATATTGTCTGCAGTCACACGGAACATTAGCCACGCTAGAGAGATGGAAGATAGGCGGATTTTCCGGGCGCAATCTCACCGCCACATCCGGGAAGCGTAGAGCTCCCGTGGCTACCCGAGGCTTCCCGCTGAAGATGCGGGGTAAAAAACTAGTACCTCCGAGGTACTAGTTTCCAGAAACCGTGAGGCAAGGGCGGGCGTCTGATTGCGTTTCCAGTGGCATCCAGCGCCCGCCCATGTCCCCTCACAAAAAGGTGGGATTTTTTTCCAAGTCTCCATGGATGTGCACAAGCACCCAATGGAGCATGCACATACTTTGGTGTACAGAAAAAAACCAAACCCGTTTGTCGCACCGCCCCGCTTCTTTGCCGCGCCGCAGGATTGTCCTGTGATCGGCACCTCCCCCCTACCCACGGGACCTCCACAGAACCTCCACGGGACGTCTGATAGTGTATACAGTTCTGATCACCATATCTCAAAAAATGATACTGAAGAGCTTGAAAAAGTAAAAAGGAAGGCAACCAAGATGATTAGGCATTTGGAACACTTTTCTTATTAGGGAAGTCTACAGTGTTTGGGACTTTTGGTCTAGAAAAGAAAAAAGATAACAAAGGGGAGACATGATAACAGTTTATAGAGTTATGCACGGGGTGGAGAGAGTGGATAGTGGGTGGTTTTTATCCCTCTCCCATAGTATTATAACTTGAGGACACCCAATGAAATTGTTGAGAAATAGGTTCAGGACAGAGACAAAGAAATACTTTTTTATTCAATGAGTAATAAAACTGCGGGATTCACTGCCAGTGAAGGTAGTGATGGCCACAATCATAGATAGATTTAAAGTGAGGTTGGACAGATTCATGGAGGAGAGGGACATCAATGGCTACCAGCCATCATGACTGAAGGGAGCGTCCATCTACAGAGACAGCAAAGATCTGAATACCAGTGCTGGAAGGCAGCAGCAGGGGAGGGCCTCAATGTCTATGTCCTGTTTGTTTGAACCTCCAGGGCAATGGGTTGATTGCTGTGTGGACCAGTATGCTGAACTAGATGGACCACCAGTCAGATCCAGCAAGCTCTTCTTATGCTGTTATGTTCACTCACAAGTGGGTGGCTTTGTAGAATAAAATCATTTCCAGCAATTCATCTCTAAACACATAATGCTGCCACCAAACAGTGTTGGAAAGTAACACCATCCCCTATTTTTGTTCTTTCTTTTCTTGGTCTGAAGTATGAATGGCTGTGCACAGCCCAGTCCTCTTTCCTGCTTAGTCAGCATATTAGCTTTTGATACATGTTTTCATTCATGCCCAAGCAATAAGAACGAAAAAGCAATACTGTAGAGGAGTCAAAAAGAGAGAGTGGAAGAGAGGTTAAAAAGAATAAATAGTACTTACATTTTCTCCCTTGTCACCTTTGCTCCCTTTCTGACCTGGCTCACCAATTTCACCCTGTAACAGAAAGAAAGGTGTTACATTTCTTCTTTAGAAGGACCTGCTTTTAATTTAACTGGGGTCACTGTTGAAGTATCTTTAAATGCCACCTTATGCCCACATTTTACAAGCAAAGGCCTAAGAGGGGCAATTTTGTCCTGATCAATCACATTTTGCTGTGACAGATGAGTACTGGTATTGACTGCTATGGCTGAAAGCACAACATGCCCTCATGTTGAAACAGTCATTAATTGGATTTTAAATGAAGGAAACTAGCTCCCTTCCCCCCTCCATGTCTCCTTCAGTATGCCGTGAATCTAATTGTGATCAACCAAAGGACAGCTTCTCACTTCTCTGCAATTCAGATTATAAGCAACTGAGAAAGAGAATGTATAAGATAACAAGACTGAGTTAATGCATTCCTTCAGCTTTACAGCACATCTTATTTGTAGGGCAACTAGAGGAAGAAACTGATGATCAACAGAAAACATGAGTTTCCCAACCCTTTTCTTGTCACTGACATGCAAAGCAAATAATTTACAGGGGGAAGCAGAGGATCTGAAGGGAAGTGCTTAACCCTCACCCATCCACCACATTAACTTCCCAACATCACTCCCATTCACTTTTCTCCTATTGGGTTCTCCCAGCTGTAATTCCAGGACCAGTTTTGAGTAAGCAAGAAGCAATCTAGAGGAAAAGGAGTGGGCAGGAAATGGCTTACACATTCCCCATGTTTCACCTGTAAATGCCTTCTCTTCCTCTGCTTTGCTGCTTGGTGGCAAATACAGGGTAAGAATCCATTGTTTGCTGTAATATCTAGTTCCAGGCTATGATCCTTAGAGAGATTTAGCTATGGCTGGTTAGGTATTTCCAAAATTTATTACTTAAAATTGGGGGTGGGGGTGGGAGGCACAAAGTCTTGTTGAAATCATATCCTGGTATCTTGGGCTGACCTATTAAGATCCCCCCATCCTGCTGTATTATTCCCCACCTCCAAACGTTGCTGTCTATGGGTCACATTTGATAAGCTAGAAACAAACAAATAAGTAAATATGGAAATGCTGCCCCTCCTCTTACATTGTGATACATTTCAAGCAGTTTATCATGGGCAATGACAGGCTTTTGAGCTGTTATTTGTTGATACTGATGCTTCAACGTCTAAGGAGAGATTCTGTTTGATTTGGCTTAGATTCAGTTTTATTGGTTTTATTTTAATAGGATGTGGATTGTTGTGTGTTTTATTTTGCTCTGAGAATCAGATAATAAAAAGTGGGTATATAAAATGCTGTAAATAAATATTTCTGGGGTATAAACCCCATACAGCTCAGACTGGAGGAAGATTTTAGTTTTAATGTCATTGGTGATAGAATAACAGAAACATTGTGGCCCGTGTCATACACACTCATTTCTCATTATCTCTGATGTAGTGTTTTGAGTCTTGGACTACGACTGCAGAGGTCTGGATTCAATCCATGCTTAGCCCTAGCTCAGTTTCACCTTCCTCACGGAGTTGTAATGGAGATAAAATGTGAGGAGGGAAGGAAGGACCATGCATGCCATTCTGAGGCTGTGATCATACGCACAATTAGACCCAACATAGGTGCAAATGCTGGGTGGATTTAAAAGGCATGATCAGACAACAACATCTGGGAAGCACACCGCAGCCATCAGCAACCCGTTCTGCTCTGCTGCAGAAATGGAGTTAAAAGACACCGGGGAAAACCCATTGATAAACGGGTTGCGATGGGTGACGGATGGACTTTCCCATGTCTGATCACTCCAGCGCGCTTTCATGGTGTCGGGATGGTATGATCAGGCCATCCTGACTCTGTGCCATTGTTTTTTCCCCCTTCACTGTATGGGCATCATCGCAAACTCCATACGGAGCCCTTGGTGCAGAGGTGCAATTCATTGATCCCTTGATTAAGTGCATGAGGAAAAATGGCACAACCCCCCCCCCCTGATTCACCCGCAGTTGCATCTGATCAATCACTGATGGACTGCACCCATGGTTTCAAAGGGAGGTGTGATCATGCAACTGCGGGTCAAATTCCTCTGGAAGAAATAGCCTCGCTTCACCCCGTTTTTTCTGACTCGTATGACCGCAACCTGAGCTCCTTAACAAAAAATAATTCTGTAATTTTAGCTCGAGATTCTAACAGTACAATCCTAAACAGAGTCACTCCCTTCTAAGTCCATTGAAGTCAATGGGCTATGTAAGTTTGCAGAGGGCTGCACTGAAAATCAGTTAGTTCATAATCTACCTTATACATTAGCAGTTCTTTCATAAGGTAGTTCTTTGGAAATTCCTGCCATATTCCATAACCCTTCTGCACTCGAAAATCAGATCTTCAGATCATTTTGGTACAAAGGATCACTCTTGAAATCAAGACTATTATTTGTATGTTTTCTTCTGTACCGGTAAAGGGTTCAATTCTTGGAAATACTTTCACTTGTAACCAGTCACTATTCTTTAAAATATCTTCTATTGTACTGACTGCCTCTATGCCATTCTGATTTATATCACTGCATTATCGCCATTGCTTTGTGCATCACATTTTCCATATCCTATTTAATGAATGATAACATTATCACAGTGATAGCTTTTGTGAAGGAGATTCTCTGTTTTTATCTTTTATGCTTTTGGATTTTCCATAAAAATGTGACAGTTCTACTGTTATGCCTTGTACTTCATGGCTTTCTGACCCTTTATTAATTTTCCCCCTGTATCCAACTGAAGATAACAGTTAAAATATCTGGCTACATGGGCTCTAGTCCTCAAAAGATTTTGCCACAATAATTCTGTTAGCCTTTCATGGAATACTTTGTCATTTTTATCTCAATAATCCCAATTTCCCCCTGAAGTTTTGCAAGCAACAGCAAAATCATTGGACAGATATACAATTACAATTGACAGCAACTGACCTTGTCGCCATCTTCTCCAGGAGATCCAGCTGGACCAGCAGGACCAGGAAGACCTACGGGACCCTGTACTCCATCACGTCCAGCTGGGCCTTGAGGGCCTTTCTCACCCTGTTATGGATAACAAAATAGTATTCATCCCATCACAGATGAATTATCAACAGGGCAGAACACTATGCATTCAAGAAAATGCACTTATCAAGCATTTTAGCACACACAAATGTCAGGTGAGGGTGGTCTGATAGACTAAATGATGGACACAAATCTGGTTCAAACACGGTGAATAACCTCTGTATTTGTAAGCACATTCAAAAATGATATATCATATAGGGTATGGTGTACGCAAGTGAGAATATGACTACATCAATGAATAAGGACCAGCTTTCATTTCACAAGAGAAGATGCCTGACAGGGTGTGGGGACTGGGAATTTCATTCTTCCAATTCCTCATTCCATAATGAGGATTGTTAAAGAGTATGAAGGGATGTGGTTGTTGTATATGACTTATTCATCTCTGGCTTCAATAGCAAATTTTCTCTATGAGACTGACTTTGTGTCCTACATTTTGAGAAAGTGCCATGGACAATTCCCAACATTTAGTAAGCAGGGTGAGTTGTAGCACATGAGCATCAGATTCCTGTGTATGTTGCTGAAACAGCTTAACAGTGTGCAAGTGCATCTCTGAGAATAACAGTGGTGGACTACACTTGGTTTTGTGGGTCACAAGTTGTACAGACCTGTCTTCACCTCTGGTAGCATAATCAGGATTCCAGTCAAGAAAGTACAGCATGAAGGAGAAAGGTGAAAGAGACCGTTCCACTGAAATTATGTTAATGAATTTAGGCTTAATAGAACTCTGGGATGGTGTTGTGGATAAAGCCTTGACAGCTAGGACCTATGTGCTTTCTGCAGAACTACACTGCAATATTCATGTTTGTTATCTGGTTGCTCTGTGAGCAGCCACCTATAGATAGCTTAGAATCAGATGGTGTCCTACTTCTGTGAGAGATACACCATTGGGCAGTGTTGTTGTTTGTTTGCTTTTTAACTGAAAATCTCTGGCATTCTTCTACATGCATTGTTTTGTTAAAAATAACATAAATAGTTTTATTTCCCAGATTCTCTAAACTGACAGTTGTAGCCCCAACTCTGTGGTCTCCCTTTATAACTCTCACTTCCACTGTTTGAATTTCAGCTCCTCTTGGACTTTTGACATTTCCATCTCCATGCCTTGCACCGTTGCAGTCCTTTTTCTGTCTAACAGGTCAGTATCTCTCTGTTCCTTCAGTGCTTTCTGAAGGCTAGTGCATCTGTGGTTTAATTTTGGTGACCGATATTGCATGTTCACAATGCAAGTAAACGTCATCAAAATAGCAACAGTAATTCCAGACTGAAAGACATAAAAGAACGAGCGGTGCATGTTGTAAAATTAAGTTTATTTCATTGGGAATTTCCATTGAGCAATCACAGAGCCAGTTTGGTGTAGTGGTTAAGTGCACAGACTCTAATCTGGGAGAACCGGGTTTGATTCCCCACTCCTCCATTTGCACCTGGCTGGATGGCCTTGGGCAAGCCGTAGCTCTGATAAGAGCTGTTCTTGAAAAAGAGCAGTTTCTGTCAAGAGCTCTCTGAGCCCCGCCTACCTCACAGGGTGTCTGTTGTGGGGAGGGGAAGGGAAAGGAGTTTGTAAGCTGCTCTGAGACACCTTTGGGTAGTGAAGGGCGGGGTATAAATCCAATCCTTCTTCTTCTTCAAACTGAGCCTTTTGAATAAGGAATATTGATAAACTGAACCCTGAACAACAGTTAACCTGGCTATCGGAGCCCTTGAATCTGAAAGCATGAACACCTAACATTACTTGCACCTGTATTGCCACCTGAATCTCACGATCCTCGTCTTCATTACTCTTTTGTAGTGTTTTAGCTCTCCTTTCATTCCTCTCACAAATGTGCTCTGTAGAGGATCAGGCCTTTGAGCAGGGGCTATGGCACTCCTCTCTTTGGCAAAACACCAATTAAATACGAGCAGCCACACAACTGTTGCTGAAGGTTATCATATGTGTTTGTCAGACTCTGTTCTTACACTCTACGTGATTGGCTGCAATAAGCAAAGCTGGAGAGAACAGAGTTGCAATTTGCTGCAATGGGATTATTTTTGGTTCTCCTCAGAGCTTTACTACTTAAGCCTTCCGAAGGCTGAGCTCACTGATTTGCTTTGGCAGCTTCAAAGTCACATCATTCAAGTTTTCTAAGAACTTCCTTCCTAGTTGCTTGCTCAGTCACGATAAGGCCTCATACATATAAATTACAAAACTCAGAACTTTACATTGCAAAACAGCTTAACTTGTTACAGGAGCCATTGTCTGCTTGTCAGTACTTCAATAAGGGTTTTTTCCCTGATAGGTGTATTATAGATAGACAGAAAACAGAAATGAAAATACAGATAACAACACCCTATTCAAGATAAGAAACAGAAATGAAAATATACCAAAGGAGGAAAAGAAAAAAAATCACATGAGCAATATAATTCCTTCTCTTATATTTAAGGGTGTTCATGTTCTTAATATCACTGCTGTTAATATAGTAGCCCTCTACACAAGACCCCTCCCTGTAAGGACTGAATGCGCAGGGAGCAAGAATGGGCATGGGTATGCTGGCCCCGCCTCCCGTGCAATTGAAGAAGAGAAGAGGAAGAGATTGGATTTATACCCCACCCTTCACTACTCAAAGGAGTATCAGAGCAGTTTACAATCCCATTCCCGCCCCAACAGACACCCTGTGAGGTAGGTGGGGCTGAGAGAGCTCTCTCAAGAACTGCCCTTGAGAGAACAGCTCTGAAAGAACTTATGACTGACCTAGGGGTCACACCAGGAGTTGCATGTGGAGGCATGGGGAAATCAAACCTGGTTCTCCCAGATTAGAGTCTGCACTCTTAACCACTATACCAAACTGGCTCATGAGCATGCATCTATATACACAGGAAGTGTCTGCATGTACATTCCCTCCCCATGATCTGGGATGCTGCTTTCCGCTGATCACAGGGAGGGAGCATACAGACAGACACTTCCTCTGTGCACAGGTGATGTGTTCACAAGTCAGTGATCACAGAGGGAGGGGTTGTGTGTACAGGGCTGGCATAACTAATGTATTGGGGGACAACAGCGCACACATGCAATGAAACTTCCAAACATTTAAAATATGTCTATTGCTGAGTTGATTTTGTTAATCAATTCAATTTTATATTGAAGCACGAGAACCTATTAGATAATTATATTTACAAATTGATAAATGGCTTATATGTAATGGCTCCTTTTTGCCATAGCTAGGATACTTCTGCTCATATATAGGAAACTTGAGGTCAGAGGTAACAAGCAGACTGAATTAATGATGAAGCAGACATAAAACTAAAATTCAATATATGAGGGGAAAAACCCCAGACCATTTAAATTTTGCTTGCAGGATCAGTTGGCTAAAAGGCCATCACTAAAGAACCCCTGGCTCTTTAAGACTGAGTATTTAATTCAGTTCAATTTAACCAGTTAAAATAAACTAATGGATACTAGCTGGATAGAATTCAATTGGACCATATGTGGCTAAAGCCCCATTCAAAATTAAGCTAATCAGCCAGAGTTTCAGCTTTGAGCTCCATACCAGTATTGCCTGTTTAAATTTACAACAGGTTTGGAAGTGATTTTTTGCATCTTTCTTTGTAATCATTTAGGATGGCCTTTATGTTATTTCCTCCCCAACAAATTACACCTATTCTTTTATACGTTTAACACACACAAAAATTCATTAATCATAAAACTTTGACCATGTGAAGAAAGTCTGGTGAGAAATTTACAGCATTATCGTCCCATATATAAGGACCTGAAATTAAAATACAATAAAATAATTGCCTGATCAGTTATTGTACAGAAAAGACAACTGATTGCCCCAAGGAAAGACTTTTTTTAAAAAAAAATCAAATCTTCTCTTGAAGAAACTGCTTCATTTGCTTATGCCCATTGACTTGCAGAAGGCATGGAATGTTGAGGGTAGTTGAGCAAACCAAGATTGGGGAAAGGAGGCAGAAGGTGGTGACCAAACTGGCTTTCTTAAGTAAACCTGTGGTGATCAGCAGTCAGTACAGTAAGGAAACTGTGCTGTAGTGCTAGATGGCTGAGGTTCAGGGATAGGTGAACAGGAAACTATTATTGGTGAAGTTTGGTGCTCTCATAGAAGTGGAATATTGGGGAAGGACAGAGAATTTAGACCCACCCCCATCCCCCGGTGATTCTTTGTGACCTCCTAGGTTTTTAAATTATTGTTTATTATACTACCAATACAATTAACATGCACAGGTATGGATGCATCAATGTAAAACTGAAGTGATCTTTCAAAAGCTCTCATGAAAAGCAATGAAAACTTTGTTCCCTATATCTGGGAGATATTTGAATAAAAAGATAGCAAAGGCTAGGAGTATGGAAATCTGATAAGAAAATGAGATATAAAGTAGCGCTTTGTAAAACAGAGTATTAGGTCACTACCTTTAAATCAGTGCTGTGGTTTTACAAATATTTTATAATACAAGGTGGCCACTACTGTGCTCATAATGATCAGCTTTACTTAACCCCTCTGCCTGGGCCTTAGGGTTTGATAAAGTGTGCCAAAATGTCATCTAGTTTAATTAAATTTCTGTGGTACTCTATTGTAAATAGAAAGGGAATACAACGTGTATGCTGGGCACATATGCAATAGAAAGGTAGTGGAGTGTGAAGAGCTAACATTATTGGCTAGGAAAAGTAATAACTTCTGTAATAACTTCTGTGTTTTGCACGATTTCTTCAGAATTACTCACCGGAGCTCCCTTTTCTCCTGCTGGCCCAGGGGGACCTTGAGGGCCAGGACGTCCTGGCAAACCAATGGGGCCAGCTGTTCCTGCTGGGCCACGTTCACCTGGGGAACCCTGGAACAAAAAGAGGGGGGGATTATTACAGTTCTAAAGCAGCCGATCTAAGCAGAAGCACCCTTAAGAGATTGGCTGATGTCTTAATTCTTCCAATGAGACACCACACTCATCCATGATAGAAGTTATGTGGAGCTGCCCAACAATCAGATCCTATCATACTGCTCCATTCAGCAAAGTTTAATGCCCTCTTCAAGTCCAAGGAGACTTCTTCCAACTTAATTGGTTCTTTTGTTAGAGAAAGAGGAATGATCCTTAGCCGGGAGGAAAGCTTCCTGGAGGATGGTTGGATCCCACTAGTTATTTGTACAGTACTGTCTATTACACCTGGCAGTACCTTTCCAAGGTCCTATATCCTGGAGATGCCAATAATTGAATATGGGATCATTGCTTTTCTCTTATTACAAGGGGATGTTGTCATGTTCCAGAAGAACAGGGATTTGATGAAATTATTTTCCATTTTATCTTGGTAGGTGTTCTACAGCTAAGGAAATAATTTCTCCCCATCTCAGTTCAGAATGAGCTAGTTCTTTCTTAACTTTTCCAGTGAATTTTTAGAAAAAGCTTTTGGCATTTCTCAAGAATTCTTTGAGATGTTAGAAAAGACTAGGACTACTCTAAATTCTCGGAGCCTGCGGGCAAGGGAGAATCAGCTGGCATGGTGTGGAGCTGTCGGCTCCTGCTGCCCCAGCCAATCCTGGGATGGCTCCTCTTGCAGGGGAGCTGCTCCTTGTGCCTTCACCAAGCACGGAAGACTTATCAACAGAAAGTTTCCAGTTCCGGATTCTGTGGCAACTGAAGTTTGTCAGGCTTCCAGGACCTTACCAAAAGTCCAGGAACCTTTGCTAGACTTTCCTGGTTCTGACTAAAGGCTCAGAAGTCCTAGCCAACTACAGTTCCCAGGGTTCTTTCTGGTTTTGAGGAGCAGCCCTCTTCTTCTTCAGGATACTGGAAAGTAAATCAGGAGACTTGAACAGTTGTAGGAGAGGACTAGAATTGCTTAAATTTATTTATGAGACTAACTAAAATTTGATGGGATTTTTTTGGACTCATTATTTCTAAACTGTAAATGGTGCCATTTCCAGCTCCCCTTCCCTTTCCAAACTCAGAATCACAGCTACAGCAGCTTGTGTGACTGTCCATGGATCATCTAATTGCTCCCAAATTGTCAAAGATATATCTATACAGGCAGGTGTTTGGTCCAAAGACAGAAAATATGCTACAGTGGTATGTGAAGGCTAGAGCTGAGCTTTCTCTGTGAATCAGAGCTATTTCATAGATAATGATTTGTGGTACATCTGCATGTTACATATATGCTGAGCCTCACTTGTCAGCACATCTCCAATCCAGTGATGAGGCAATTTTTTACTGACCTCTTTGCAGCACAGGCGTGCTTCCACTATATGATGTGGAATCTGTTCCACAGGACGAAATCCCTGCTGCCCTGATGGATCAGTAAAATGCTGTCTTTTTGAGCACGAGTACCTATTAGATAATTATATTTACAAATTGATAAATGGCTTATATGTAATGGCTCCTTTTTGCCATAGCTAGGATACTTCTGCTCTTATATAGGAAACTTGAGGTCAGAGGTAACAAGCAGACTGAATTAATGATGAAGCAGACATAAAACTAAAATTCAATATATGAGGGGAAAAACCCCAGACCATTTAAATTTTGCTTGCAGGATCAGTTGGCTAAAAGGCCATCACTAAAGAACCCCTGGCTCTTTAAGACTGAGTATTTAATTCAGTTCAATTTAACCAGTTAAAATAAACTAATGGATACTAGCTGGATAGAATTCAATTGGACCATATGTGGCTAAAGCCCCATTCAAAATTAAGCTAATCAGCCAGAGTTTCAGCTTTGAGCTCCATACCAGTATTGCCTGTTTAAATTTACAACAGGTTTGGAAGTGATCTTTTGCATCTTTCTTTGTAATAATTTAGGATGGCCTTTATGTTATTTCCTCTCCAGCAAATTACACCTATTCTTTTATACGTTTAACACACACAAAAATTCATTAATCATAAAACTTTGACCATGTGAAGAAAGTCTGGTGAGAAATTTACAGCATTATCGTCCCATATATAAGGACCTGAAATTAAAATACAATAAAATAATTGCCTGATCAGTTATTGTACAGAAAAGACAACTGATTGCCCCAAGGAAAGACTTTAAAAAAAAAAATTGAATCTTCTGTTGAAGAAACTGCTTCATTTGCTTATGCCCATTGACTTGCAGAAGGCATGGAATGTTGAGGGTAGTTGAGCAAACCAAGATTGGGGAAAGGAGGCAGAAGGTGGTGACCAAACTGGCTTTCTTAAGTAAACCTGTGGTGATCAGCAGTCAGTACGGTAAGGAAACTGTGCTGTAGTGCTGGATGGCTGAGGTTCAGGGATAGGTGAACAGGAAACTATTATTGGTGAAGTTTGGTGCTCTCATATAAGTGGAATATTGGGGAAGGACAGAGAATTTAGACCCACCCCCATCCCCCGGTGATTCTTTGTGACCTCCTAGGTTTTTAAATTATTGTTTATTATACTACCAATACAATTAACATGCACAGGTATGGATGCATCAATGTAAAACTGAAGTGATCTTTCAAAAGCTCTCATGAAAAGCAATGAAAACTTTGTTCCCTATATCTGGGAGATATTTGAATAAAAATATAGCAAAGGCTAGGAGTATGGAAATCTGATAAGAAAATGAGATATAAAGTAGCGCTTTGTAAAACAGAGTATTAGGTCACTACCTTTAAATCAGTGCTGTGGTTTTACAAATATTTTATAATACAAGGTGGCCACTACTGTGCTCATAATGATCAGCTTTACTTAACCCCTCTCCCTGGGCCTTAGGGTTTGATAAAGTGTGCCAAAATGTCATCTAGTTTAATTAAATTTCTGTGGTACTCTATTGTAAATAGAAAGGGAATACAACGTGTATGCTGGGCACATATGCAATAGAAAGGTAGTGGAGTGTGAAGAGCTAACATTATTGGCTAGGAAAAGTAATAACTTCTGTAATAACTTCTGTGTTTTGCACGATTTCTTCAGAATTACTCACCGGAGCTCCCTTTTCTCCTGCTGGCCCAGGGGGACCTTGAGGGCCAGGACGTCCTGGCAAACCAATGGGGCCAGCTGTTCCTGCTGGGCCACGTTCACCTGGGGAACCCTGGAACAAAAAAAGGGGGGGGATTATTACAGTTCTAAAGCAGCCGATCTAAGCAGAAGCACCCTTAAGAGATTGGCTGATGTCTTAATTCTTCCAATGAGAGACCACACTCACCCATGATAGAAATTATGTGGAGCTGCCCAACAATCAGATGGACTTTATCCTATCATACTGCTCCATTCAGCAAAGTTTAATGCCCTCTTCAAGTCCAAGGAGACTTCTTCCAACTTAATTGGTTCTTTTGTTAGAGAAAGAGGAATGATCCTTAGCCGGGAGGAAAGCTTCCTGGAGGATGGTTGGATCCCACTGGTTATTTGTACAGTTTTGGGTTCGGATGTACTGAACCCAAAAAATAGCAGAAAGAAGGGAAGGAAGATCTCAGATCTCCCCCCCCCTTCTGGTGGCCTTGGGGAGAGTTCTCATTGCAAGATCGGCTCCTGGGAGGGCTCTGTTGGCAGTCCAGTTTCAACCAGGCAGCCCAGCAGAGCCCCTGCCGAGGCTGTGGGGAGAGTTCTCCCCACAGGATCAGCTCCTTTGCAGGCTCTGTTGGGCAGTCTGGTTTAAACTGGGCTGCCCAGTGGAGCCCCAGCGGAGCCTGCGGGCAAGGGAGAATCAGCTGGCATGGTGTGGAGCTGTCGGCTCCTGCTGCCCCAGCCAATCCTGGGATGGCTCCTCTTGCAGCTTGGTTTAAAACAAGGTGCAAGAGAAGCCGACCAGCTCCAGGTGAGGCAGCAAAGAGTTGTCAGTTCCATGCCCCCCCCCCCAACTGACCATCTCCTGCTGCTCAAAGCTTACAAAAGAGGATCAACTGAGGCACTCTGGTTGGGGCTGGGTCGCCCAAATAAAAGCTGGAAAAATTGGCATTTGGGGGGCTGAGCCATATTGGTAACTGAATACAGATACTCATTTCGGTTTATACCAAACACATACCCCTAGTAGTGACTCACAAAAGTCCATACCCTCCCACAAATTTTATTAGTCTTTAAGGTGCTACTGGACTTTCATTCTTTTCTACTGCTACAGACAGACTAACACGGCTACCCATCTTGATCTTTTCCCATTAGTCTGTGGACAGCTATTTGTGGGAATATTCCAGGGGACATCAGGGAGATAGGTCCTCTTACAGCATACGTTGCCATAAATGGTTTGGAAAGCACAGCAAATTTTTCATGGTGCCTGGGGTTTTTTAGGAGGCAGAGTGGACAGTTTTACAGATTACATAAAGGGAAATATGGAATGGGCCAGTTTTGCTCATCGAGCTTTCTGGGAATGGCTTTTGCAATTCACCTGGTCATCTGCAAAGAGGCCTGACACTGGCTGAGCCTCACTTGTCAGCACATCTCCAATCCAGTGATGAGGCAATTTTTTACTGACCTCTTTGCAGCACAGGCGTGCTTCCACTATATGATGTGGAATCTGTTCCACAGGACAAAATGCCTGCTGCCCTGATGGATCAGTAAAATGCTGTCTTTTTGCTGCATTGGAAATTTAGGGGGGGGGGTTTCTAGCATATTTTTGGGGAAACATATATGTAAAGCATCTGTCTATATACTCTCTCCTGTGAGTGGGGGACCTGTGAATTTTCTATAGGAAAACTGCCAGTGAGGATGATAATTCCACACTTCCGCTTGGATCAACACAATCCCTTGCTGATAAACTATGTGAATTTGTGCATTTCATTTTCCAGAATTCATTGAAAGCTTATGAATGGATCTTGGAATTTAAATTAAAGCAAAAAAAATCTCCAATGTGAATAAACTGATTTTGAATCTCATTGAGAAAGACCCTTATATGGGTCAATGGAAGGTGATCATCATAAATAGACTCCAATGCTTAGGATTCAATGGCAAAGATAAGGGCCTCATAAAACAAATAAAGTCCTCAGTACTGAATGTGGGTAAAACAGGTACCTTATTGAAGGCATGGCATGTATGTTCCCTTCTTTTATGCTATCTTGAGCTACTTAAAAGGACCTAATAATCCCTCATTATAGAAGAGAATTTATGCTTGCTCAGTTAAATTGTTTTCCCTCATACTAAAGGCCTAGTCAGACAGAGTTTGTAAATGTTGATCTGGTCAGCTAGAGTCCTGAGAACATATTTTATTGAAGTGTAAAATCTGGTCCAATTTGAGAGAAAGGTATTTGTCCTTCCTCTTAATCGGTTATGTGAATTTAATATTTCAAAAATAATCCAGTTTTTCCTTGTAGATGAGGATCAGAAAACTACCTTAGCAGTTTAGCTGTGGAGATGGCCTGTAAGAGGTGGATCTTGATCTGTTTGAGACCTTTGAGTCAGTCTCTTATGTTCTTATGTTCTTATGGCCTATAAGAGGTGGATCTTGATCTGTTTAAGACCTTTGAGTCAAAAACACAGTAAGATAAATCCAAGTGCTATGTAAAAACTATTCATGACTAAATATCATGTGCAGTTTGGCCTTCAGAGGTATGTCTTACTAATGTAACATGTGAATGGACTCTTAATGGACACAGCAAATGTTCCCGACCATTAAGTATTTGCTCATTTCAAATGTGGCCCTATTAAAAATGGGTTGCTGGCCAGGGGAGTAAAATAATAATTGAGTCACTGAGACTCAATTGTCAATGCTTGCTTCTCTTAGGGGTTCATTGATGACTGCCCAATATTTAATAAAGACTGCAAAGTATTTCCTGCACTCAAAAAGTTTTTCTGTATGTATTTTGGCCCTTTGGATTTAGAAGGTCCATTTTAGTATGCCAGTTAAATGCACTCTTCTTTTATAAAATACTAATAATCAAAAAAAGTGTTGTTGTTTTTGCTCTGTCTTTCTGTGTTTTTTCCCTCTCTTTGATATGGTCAACAGCATGCTTCAAATGTCCAAGTCACAAACAGGATGGCGGGAGGGGTGGTCTTCAATATTAACATGGCATGACTGAAAAGCATAGCAAAGGATTAATGCTGCTTTGCTTTGATTATGATTCCCAGAGAGTGAGAATTAAATTTCATGGCAATTACGTTCTCATCCCACAGAGGCTAGAGCTGGTTTGTTTTCAGAGTTTTTATTTGAAATGTATAAGATTTCAGAGTCAGACAGACGTGGCCCCAAACAGAAAACAAACAATAAAACCTGGTGCTGGACTTCAGCCAGCAGGCACTTTGTAGATATTCAGAGGATGAAAGAACTAAAAGCCAAGCTCTGGTGTGAAGAGACTTCCACAATACTATATAACATCGGACTGCTGTTGGAGAGTCACAGGAGAAGGACAGCATAAAATTCTTTCCCCACATGTACCCATTTCTATTTTGGGGGAGTTATTTATAGGAGCATTCAAATTTGTGATCTCCTACTTGCAGTTAAAAGTAATTCAATACAGCATGAGATGCACTTTGTGATTTTTGCTGCATGCAGCTCAGCTTTCAGGCAAACTCTGGAAGGACTAAAGACTGTGAATTCCATACAATTCAGCTGTAGTAATTTCCTGCTTCCCCTTCCTGATCCTGTATTATTCAGGTACAATCTTTGGCATATTCCAACTTTGCCTACTTGTACTTCCTGAACAAGCACAAGGGTGAGATGTACTATCAATTGCAATGCAACAGCAGGGGAGGGGCTGTAGGCTCAGTGGTAGAGCATCTGCTTTGCATACAGAAGGTTCCAAGTTCAATCTCTGGCATCTCCTGTTGAAAAGGATCAGGCGATGGGAGGCCTGTAGCCAGGATTCTGTGGCTTGTGGGGCAACTTTTTTTCTGGTGGGGCTGAAGGTCTCAGTGCAGAAAGAAAAGCCATTTGGCCAATAGAAAGCTGTTACCAGGATAGGTCTCTAAATTGCAAGCTGTCAACCACTTTAGATGACAGTTCTCAGCTGCTGCAAGTTAATCACTTCTGCCGGCCTAAGCAACCATTCTGATAACAAGCCGGCAGGTGAGGGATGATGACTTCTATAGTCAATAAAGCTAACACTTAGGTTAACACTTAACACTTAAAATTCTCTTAAAGGAGACCAGTTTCTTGACACAGAGTTAGAAGGTATCCTAGAGATCACCTACTCCATCCCCTTTGCTCAGTGAGAGAATTACTTAACTACAACATCCCACTCTGCTTTAAAGGAGCACATGCCTTTAAAAATGACTGGAAAAAGGCATTTACCCGAGAAATTCTTTTGGGGCTGTGCCCCTAAAAGCACTCTGTGGGCAGAGCCCCCCAAAGCCCCACTGTAGCTACAGGCCTGGTGATAGGTGATGCAAAAGGCTTCTGCCTGAGACCCTGGAGAGCCACTGCCAGTCAAAGTAGACAGTACTGACCTTGATAGAACAAAATTATGATTCAGTATAAGGAAGCCTCATGAGTTTGTGTGTGTTCAGTGACAGAAATACTAAGAGGTCAGTGTTTGGAACATGACATACACCAGAATAGACTTTTCCAGGATATAAAGCCACTAATATGCTGAGCCCCTTTCTATGCTCAACTGTAGCTGCTGATGAACAAAATTCATCCTGCTCTGAGTTACAGTCCAGACACTGAGAGGGTAATGTAACTGCTGCCAAAGAATGTCAAGTTCTACACAAACTGGCATTCAGTGGTTGTGCTCAAATAGCTCAGTGGCAATCATACAAAATACTTCCAGGACTGGAACCCAGCACAGGTTGAATTATTTCTAGTGGCAGCACATAAATAAGAGGACTGTGGCTGAGCCTTTGCTGGCTATAGAAATATAGCCTTGTTCTGAAACTGAAAAAGGAACCATTTGTCAGCTATATTTCAAAGATGTTTCTGAATTTCATATCTATAGACCATTAGCCACATGTGGCCCCCATCTGCAGATATCTAAATCCACAGATTGAAGCCACACAGAGGCTAAACAGATTTTTCAGCAAACTTGGGGTACTCTCCAGGTTTGTAGAAAAATCTGAAAATTAAAAACAATACATGGGGGCTTAAATCCCCCCCAAAGTAAATCCTCCTAAAAGCACTGACCTCAGGCCATCGGCAACACAGCCAGGGGAGCCTTGCTGGACCTGGCAGTATCAGCCGTGCAGCTTGGGAGCCCAGCTGAGCCCAGAAGGAGTCGCTTCAGCCCAGCCCAGTGGTGGAGGTCAGCAGCGGTGGTGGAAGAGGCCAGCAGCCATGCTGAGCCTGGCCGCAGCGGCAAAAGACACCAGGCTCCATAGTTTGGGGGGGGGACTTGGAGCCGTTCCCGGCTTGGCAATGGGGGGAAATTGGGATTCCTCCCCATGAGTCTCCCTCCCTCCCAAGCTGTAAAGAGGAAAAAGTGGGGAATCGGCAGCAATGGGGGGAGGGATTCACCCCCCCCCAAGTATTGTGGGTCCCCACTTGTGTCATCTAATTTCCATGTATTTCAGAAGGACAGCAAAGCTGAACAAATTTCACAGTGTTCTTTACAGACTGTTCTTCCAGGGCTTACCACTAGAGGTTGTTTTTTTCTGGCCTGCTAATATGTAGTGTAACAAGAAAAGACAATTTGCCCCCTGTTGATAACAGCAGGTTGCAGATAGGCCAATACATTTCTGTTTATAGTCTCTGGTGGTTGTGGACTCATTAGTTCCCATAATTACCAGGAAACAGCTATTGGCGGATTTGAATGGCATACATTTGTGTACTGTTCACAAGAGCACATATACATAACAGCATGAAAAGAATTTTTTTTTTAAAGAAGTCATTATTGGTACTAATATTTGTTTCCATGAAAATCCCTTTTCTCCTTTAAGCATATTAATTGTACTTACAACTGGACCAGGGGGACCTTGTGGACCTTCTCCTCCTTTCAGGCCAGCCGCACCCTGGGGAAAAAAGCAGAAATTATTAATTTTTCTTTAAAGAGTGAATCTGCACAGGACTTTAACTATCTTTAAGGAAACTGCTCAATTGCTTTAAAGCAATTGTGTTTAAGATGTGCACTGTTAGATGCTGGCTGATTAAGGAAACTGCAGATTTCCCAACCTGCTACAAGCCAATTCCCTGTTGCCATGCTGACACTCCCTCTTTATTCATAATAACTTACTTAGGGGAAGTTCAGTCCCCTCCCCCAGGTTGGGAGGTACTTGACTGGGTGGGGCACCTGGAGACATGGAACAGCATTCTGCTTTGCATTGTAAAACCAGAGTAGGGTTAGATATGGCCCATGGGCCACCAGGTGACCATTACTGGTTTTTGACAGCAGTGCCCCCTTCCCCAAATTGTTGTTAAATAAAAACTAAAATCCCATTCTAGAAAAGGTAAGAGAGATAAATCCCTCTTCCCAAGTGGAATCACTGCAAGCCACTCTTTAATTCCTAGCAAGTTGTAATACCAGCTTGTGGTGCAGTGCAAGTTTGCACAGCTTAGTTTCACAAAACTGAATGCAGCTAATCAGCCCTTTATTGTGTCCTGCAGGTTGCTTGGCTTTTTGTTACTGTCCATGGGGTTTTCTTGGCAAAGATACTGGAGTGGGTTGCCATTTCCTTCTCCAGTGGATCACATTTTGTCTGAGTTCTCTGATGTGGCCTGTCCATCCTGGGTGGCCCTCCACAGCATAGCCCACAGCCTCATCGAACCACTCAAGCCCTCTCGTCACGTCAAAGCAGTGATCCATGAGAGATGTAACAAACATGAAATTAAGCAGACTCTGGAGCACGATCAATGCAATGAACATGAAATTAAGCAAACTTCGGAGCATGATGGAAGACAGGAGGGCCTGGCGTGATGTGGTCCATGGGGTCGCAAAGAGTTGGACTCGACTGTCCGACTGAGCAACAACAACAACAAAAAAAGGCTGCTTGGCAGTTTTCCTCAATCCTCCCTTGACCAATCCACCCCTGACTTCTGCATCTCCAGACATGCAGCAAAAGAGTTCATCAAGCCTCTTTCCTTGATGGGTCACAGCTTCTGCAAGCCTAGTGTAATAGATGGAGGGAACCCATAATTGACTTCAGCCCCAACTAAGAGACACAAAAGGGGGATGTCCCTGTACAGAGCACAACTTTAGTTTCTATAGCAACAATCCATTCTGCAAGCTACTTCCTCAGATTTTTAAAAAAGGAGCTTGTGGGATTCATAGTTCGTCAGACTTTGACCAGAGAAACAGTTTTCCTCCCCCATATCAAATTGATCTTTCACATTTTTCTATGTCCCTTTTGCCAAGGAGCTCAGGTTTACATAGTTCTCTCCTCTGCATCTGCTCTCACCAAAACCCTGTAAGGAAAGTGATTGGCAAGAAGTCACCAACTGAGATTTATGGCAGAGTGAGTATTTGAAGCTGTGTCTCCTCAGTCCTATGACAGTCTATGACAGTGTCATAGATGCAACAAACATGAAATTGAGCAAACTTCAGAGGATGGCGGAAGAACACAGGAAGGCCTGGTGTGATCTGGTCCATGGGGTCACAAAGAGTCGGACTCGACTGTGCGACTGAACAACAACAACCCCTCAGTCCTAATTTGCTCTCAGCATTCACTCTCTAATCCCCACTTACCCATGAAACAAAGTGGGTGTCCGGGCTAATCATCCCTATCAGTCATGCCTTACTACTGAACAACAACAACCCCTCAGTCCTAATATGACACCCTAATTTCCTCTCAGCATTCACTCTCTAATCCCCACTTACCCATGAAACAAAGTGGGTGTCGGGGCTAATCATCCCTATCAGTCAAGTCAGCCTAACATGCCTTACACAGTTGTTATGTGGGCAAAATGGAACAACCCAGTGTTTGCTGCTCTGAGAAACCTGAAGGAGGGGCTCAGCCACACATAATCAAAGGATATGCGAAGGGATTCACTAGACTGTGGCTCAGTTCACCCAATAGAAATATGTGGTCTTCACAATTGTCAGTTAATTTATATTATAATAATAGCATCTGAATGTATTTTTCAGTGGTAGGAAAAATCCATAGTGCAAGTGGATAGAGAGCCACTGTGATGTGTTGGTTAAGAATGTTGGAGTAGTGGAGTCTGGTCTATGGCGGCGCGCTGAGCAGTCGCACCTCCCAGACCTCCCAGGGGTGAAGCTGCGCTCTGGTCGAAGGAGGGGGTGCGCAGGATCGTCACCCCCTGAGACCCGGCTGAAGGTGCTCGGGCCATGGGACTCTCGTGGGGTTGCCTCTTCGCCAGTGCGATGCCGGGGAATTGAGGCGCTTCTTCGTCCTGAAGGTTCTTCGTGCTATGAGACCGAATGGAACCAAGCGACGCTGACCGGGGCAAGTGTAGGAGGTCGAGTGAAAGAAACAGAGCTTAAACAAGGTCTAAGGACCAACTATGAA